GACGATTGACTTTCGTCTTCACAGCGGAAGGAAAGTCGTAAGTCAACCATTTGGGTACCTGTTAATCGAAAACAATGCAAATTCTTGAATTTTTTTGAGTACCATTGTTAAGGTAACTTCGAAAACGCTGTAGAAATGGTCGGTTTAATGCTTCTTCACTAAGGTAATACCTCGGCGACGATCTCAGCAGACACTACTCCAGTTTCCTTTTTCAGTTCCCTAACAGCTGCCAATTTGAGGTCTTCACCATCCTCAATGCCTCCCTAAGATAAACAAATCATTGAAGAAAACAGCCAATTCAATCGAACCGAACTTTTTGAATTCAAAACCGACGCAGTTTTCTATAAGAATTGTAGCAAAGAGAGCTATTTTGTTTTTTACAGGAGGATTTAGGTAAATATGAATGATATATAATTTTGGATCCAACCCAAATTCATTGTTGCAATTTCAGGTATCCATAAAACTCAATACCATTATATCACGTCGTTATATCGATGCAATCACCGTTCTTTAGAACTACAATAACTGTAACAGCCCAAAGCCCACTGCTACCAGATATTGTCCTTGTTGATCTTTCCCTTTCGGGATTCCCTCAAGGTTTTTAAAATGCGTCTGCTAGGGAGAGGTTTTCACACCCTTGTAAAGAATGTTTCGTTCCTCTCTCCAACCGATGTGGGATCTCACAATCCACCCCCCTTCGAGGCCCAGAGTTCTCGTGGCACTCATTCCCCTCTCCAACCGATGTGGGACCCCCAATGGTATCAGAGCCAGACACCGGATGATGTGCCAACGAGGAGACTGAATCCTAAAGAGGGGTGGACACCAGGCAGTGTGCTAGCAATGACGCTGGGCCTCGAAAGAAGGTGGATTGTGAGATCCCACATCGGTTGGAGAAGGGAATGAAGCATTCTTTATAAGAGTGTGAAAACCTCTCCCTAGTAAACGCGTTTTAAAACCTTGAGTGGAAGACCGGAATGGAAAGCTCAAGAGGACAATATCTGCTAGTGGTAGACTTAGATGGTTACAATAACAGTCTTGGATCATGATCGTACTCAACATATTGATTCATAACTTCTTGTTTGTTTTAACAACAATATGTCCCAAATCAGCCATGACCTTCAAAGTTTAAGGCTATGACATCAAAATTATCTAGGTTCATAGCTTCCCTCTTCGATCACTGGCCAAACTATAGCAGTTCCGATTCGAACCACGAAACATTCGATCCATCGAAATCAAAAGGGCAGATAATCCATAACAGCTCACAAGTTCACAACTAACCAGAGTCCAAAAATTCATATAATTGAACAGAATTTAAGCAAATAAGGAAACCAACAGTATGATCCCATGAACTAAAACTGTCCCATGTAGAGATTTTGAGTAATGAAACAGAGAAAAGAACAAAGGAAATTTCAAAATCACCTGAGGCATCTGCCACGCTCCTGGAACATTCAGTCTAGAAGCCACAAAAACCTGCACAACAAATCTGATTGAGACAGCAATCTTTCTTCATCCATATAATTCTCAACAACAACAAAAAGAACACAAAAACAGAACAACTACAACACCACCTTAAAATCCTCAAATCTTAAGAAACAATCAAACCAAAAACAGTCAACAATAAGCATAGCTCTACTCTTACAATGGCAACATTATATTTATAAAAACCCCAAAAAAGGAAAACAAAATTCACACATGTATCTAGATCTGACAGAGAAATGGGCAATCAGTTCATCACAAATTCTTCAAGATCATAGAACAAAACAAAACAATCGAAACAGACCTGACTATCAGAATTGATGAGACAAACGCCAACGTTGGGGCGGTAACCGGAAGGAAGAGACTCCATGATTAAGGGCTTTTCTTTGATTAACGATGGATTCGGGAATTTGGGGTTTTCAAAATTTTCAAGAGTCAGAGCTTGAGAGAGACGGAAGAGAGAGAGAGAGAGAGAGAGAGAGAGAGCTCTTAGCTTTTGGGAGTGGGAATATGAACGACGCTGACTACAAGAGAAGGAAGGGGGCAGAGCTTTTTATGGTGGTGGCGGAGGCCGGGTTTTATGTGCCTTTATTTTTTTCTTATCTTCCACTCTCCCTTTTCCCTTTTAATACTATCCATTTCTTGGGTAATTTTCCTCTATGCTCGCTCACACCAGATCAAACTCCAAGTCTTCCTCATCAACGGCCACTAAACTGCCGTCTCGTTCGGAACCTTTTAACTCCTTGGCTAACTTTTCTTACCATTCTTTCTTTTCTTTGTTATCCTACAGAATAAAATTTGCCTCCCGAGTTAACTCTATCCAGTTTCAAAATATCTTTAGGCTCCTTTGCTACCCTTTTAATCTAATTTTCTCTGTCAGTATATTTTAATTTAATTAGGTATTTTAACCCTTTTTTCCGAGTAGAAAGAAAATAAGATATCTCCGAAATTCAAGGCGGATTTTAGGATCACCGTTCTTTTATTTGTAACGTAATATTGAGCAAAGGAACGAGCAAAGCCAAAATATATTAAATTTCGATCAACCTATTGCTATTTTTATCTACATTTCCATACATGTCTACCACTAAACATCAACCTAAAGTCGCCCACTCTTATTTGTAACGTAATGATAAACGAAAATAAAGAGCAAATTCAGTATATATTAATTTTTTTTTATTAATGTATTGTCGTTTTCATCTGTATTTCCATATATGTCCGCAATTAAAAATCGACGTTATAAATTTTTTTCAATATTTCCATTAAATCGTAAAATTATAAATTATTATTTCACACGACAAATTGTCAAAAAAAAAATGGAGGATGGAAGGGATGATGCGAAGTTGAAGAGGCTATGATAGGGAAATAGAATAGGAGAAATGCAGAGGATAAAAGCTCATGACGGCGTAGGATAGCAAGAGGTAGTTTTAGTCAATGAGTGAGGTCGGACAGATGTTCCAGAAAAGGACAGAGGAAAAGCAGAAGCTAGTGGGGAAGGAACACCGTTGACTTTCCTTCATTACTAGGAGAGAGATTACAAAAGCCTCTTTTTTTTTTTTGCTTTTTTTCGTATAAATTATTGTAAAAGATAAATTATATTTTCCATTAGTTAATTTAAGCCTTCAATATTTTACTCTCAATTTTTAAATAAAAAATACATAAATAATCGGTGGCTACATTCGAATATATAAAATTGGGAGAAAATGACCGACTGAAAAAATGATTGAAGACTTTAAAATTACTATCTATAGTACACGATTTTTTTTTGTAGCTCAATGATATGAACTTCAAAATAAAATGTGATTTACTCGAAACAATTCTATGTCAGTTGACCTCTCGAAATTTTACTCTCTATAGATGTTTTTTTATCAAACGACCAAACTAAAAATTTAAATAGTTTAAGAGATAAAATTAATTTTGTTGAAAAATAAAATATTTAGCGTATTATTTAAATTAAATTACAATTCATACACACGTAATTTACATTTTAATCAAATATTTAATGAAAAGAAGGGACAAATTATGAAAAGGTCCTCATTTATGGACACCTTCACTCCCTTCCTCTAAGTCAGCGTTTGCTTTTTTTTCTTTTGCATTTTTCAACTTTTAATATATATATTTTTTTCTCTCAACTTTTAGATTAAAAAAGTAGTTTAATTATGAACTATCATATTCCTTTTGTTCTTTTCAATTTTAAATGTTTTAGATTCTGTCCGACCCCATTTTTTATTCGGAGACATTCATTTAATTTGTGGAGTAAAAAATTTTCGTTTAAATAAAAAAATGGAAGAGATGGTAAATTTTTCTTCATTAGCTAAAACACAACGGTAATTATATTTACTGTCCTTGTCATTGCCCTTGCCTGGCCCCGCCCTATAAGGTACAAGACTAATATATTTAAGAAGTTTTGTTATAAATAGATAAGTGCATTACAATAAATATATGCCAAAATAAATGAAAAATATCCCAAAAATGAAAATATGAGAAATTTTGTGACATCGATGATATAAAAAGTTTACGTGTGTTCGTCCCTGTATTATCTTCATCACAACCTCATAATAGATTCTTCAAAAATCATATTTAATGTCCGTTTATGTATAGATAACTGATTCATGGATAATCTTCATTACAATTCGATAAAAAAAATTAAAAAAATTGCGACTAAATAATTTATTTTTTACTCAAGAGATCATCTTTTAATGTCGGATTATGTAGAGAATTTTATTTGAATTTAAGTTATTTGCGTGTGTTATTATATATTATTGAAAGTTAAAAATTTATGGTAACAGTAATTAGAGATAAAATGAGGGTTAAAATGAAATGCCATAGTTGAGATAAGGCTATTATTAGAGTGAAACGGTGGGCTACAGATATAATAAAATTAGATTATTAAGTTAGATGATGAAAGGAAGCTTTAATTTAATTTAATTTATTGGGGGTTGGGATAACATTCATAATTGCTTCTTAATTATTACCTTTAATAGAGTCAATTCCAAGTATTTTATCTCAGATATTATCTCGGATCAAGTGTCCGTTTAATGACAACACAAGCATCAATATCAATCATGACATCACTATCATTTCTTTTCTCTTTTAATTTTATATTTATAAACCAAATTTAAATATAAAAATATTGTCGCCATTTTCTCTATTTCATCATAAAATTCATAAATAATTTAAAAAAAAAAACACGTGCCAAATATATTAATGAAACACAATAAGTCTAAATTATTACTCATCTAATGATGAATGATATTTTTTAACTCGTAAAATTTGAGTTGGATTATTAATTTATTTGGGTTCCGTTTGAGTTAACTTGATTAATGTTTTACGTATTAACATTTGTTTATTAGAAAATAATGTGAATAGATTGTATTAATTATTTAATCTTGCCTCCCTAATCAATTGAATTGGGTCTATGATCTAACCCAACACAGCCCAAATACTGAGCCCAATACTCAAGGCCCAGATTCTTTTTATATATATATATATACTATGCCCAACAAACCAGCCCATTTATGTGATTCCAAAAACTTTCCCGCCGCGCGGCCGTCATCCCTCAATCTCTGGTAAGCTTCTCTATTTCTCTCCCTCTCTAAATCTCTCCGGTAAGCAATTCCTTTTCTCCTCCTCTCGCATGGTCATTATTATCCACTCCTTTTTGTCCACAAATACATAAATCGTCTTTGTTAATCACTTCCGTTTACTATATTTTTATTATATGTTATGTTAAATGAACGAAGTGGAACTAGACCAATTTTGATTTGGAATCAAACCAAATCTGAACCGATTGTTTATGGATTTTTTTCTTTTTCAATCAAAACAAGATTTCAAATCATTTGTGATTTCGAATTCTGTATATGTTTTCTTATACATTCCAAACGCTAGAAATGATTTCTAATTAGTCCTTCCAAAACCAGGGATTCCTAGCATAGGGTATAAGGCTATGTTTCTTGTCTTTTTGTTATTCCGTCGTCAATTCACTCGTAGAAGATTGTTTGAAGTATGCCATTTGATCAGTGGATTCATGTGTGCGTATACTGATATATTCGGTAGGATGTTTCATTGAAAGCTAGATGAAGTTAGAGATGGCGCTCTCAAAAATTTCTGTGATTATTAGTTTATCGGCTGAAGAATATTTCTCAGTTGAAAATGGTTATGATTCACTTTAAGGCTATTGGTTTACTTAATTAATTCTTTTCCATTTGATCGTTGATTCAATTGTCTTAAAACATGAAGCTGTAGTTGAGCATGCTGATTGTGGTGATTGAGATACACCTGTTTTGCCACCATAGTCAAACCGATTTATTCTATGAATTTTAGTTGAAATCAAAATTGTATGCTGGTATTCGTGTAGGAATGAATAAATCTATTATCTGATCACAGATACAAATCTAATTTGGTATATCAAGGTGATGGAACAATTATTGATTGAATGGACTGCAGCAAGTGCACGAGCGCTGGTTTATATTGATCCTCTTTTTGGTTGGTTTAACAATTGGTTTCCATAGTATAAATTGATGAGTTCTTCTGGCTATTGATGATTGTTTCTGTTTGTTACGATTGTCTAAGAAATACCCTTCTGTATCCAAGATGCTAAGGAATTATAGGTTGGTTGGATTTCCTTTTGTCATACAGTTTCTAGTTATTATTAGAGTGTGGGTATCATTTTCTTTGTTTGTATCTTTATCTAGTTTTGGAGGATTGATATGATAGCCTTTTACTGTTCTTCATAAGAGTACACCCGGAGCGGGTGATCTTTGGTATTTTCTCTGAATTGGAATAAATGAGGGTGCTTTGGAACTTGGTTCCCTAGTTGAGTTGAGAGAGGAAGTTTAATTCTTTTTTATCAGACAAAGCTTAGTTTCCTCTAATTTCTGGTGCAAATTGAGATCCAAAATTACTGCCTTGGCCAGCACCGTTTGCCCGATCTGAATGACAAGATTAACGTTCTCATTACAAAGGCGTCACGTTGTGTGTTGCCACACACACACGGTCATGCTCCTCGTAAACCATGGCCTGGCCATTGGCTATAAATAGTCTGTTACCATTCCCTACGCTGAAAGTAAGAATTCTAATCTTCCATCTTCCCCTTTAGGGTTTATCCTTTCTTAATCTCATTGGAATCAAGAGAGGACTGAGGCATTAAAGGGGTGAGCAGTTTCGGTGGCTCTGAAGAGCCTGCAGGTTCTCTGTAGGTTGCCCTGCTTTTCAAGCCCTCTAGATTCAATTCCAAATGGTATCTTCGTAGTAGGGGTGATGTGCCTTTAGACATAAGTTGACCCATTTAAATTTTATACAACTCAACTCAACGGCAAGAAAGACTTAATTATGATTGATCATAATATAATTGTTCATGAGGGGATTCATTATACGTATTAGAGTATAAGATGACATACTTTTTATTTAGTCTTAGGTTTGCCCACTCTTTAATGATCAACTTTATACCTAATGTGATTATATCTAAAGACATAACATGTCCTACAATACAAGAGTACAATTTCGAGTTAATAGTGGAGTAATTTATTGTTGATAGATAAAGATATAAGAATACATTATTTGAGCAAAATCCCTTATATTTTACATATCGATATTGAAAGAGAGAGTTTCTAGTTCAAATCAATTAGTTCAAGGCTCCTATGGTCGAGCCTAGTAGGGTAACCCACTCAAAGTCGAGCTAGGTAATCAAGCCAAGGATAGTTCAACTTTAAGGATCACACTAATTATAAAAGGAAAAAGGAGTTTCACGTGCAGATTATGTTACACAACACTAATACTCACTACTTTTAACACAAACTCTAGCTGACTTAGGCATGAGAGTATGAGTTTGACGAGTACCAAACAAGAGTAAAGTTTCTTTGGTTCACTGACACCACAACGCTCCTAGTCTTCAATAGTGAATTAGAGTAGTATTCTTGGTTATGGTCATGAATGCAAATGTTGAATATGATATAGAATTAAAGGTATAAGATCTAGGTCCCAACTCATTGATTTAAATACATGTCATAAGACTTGGAAGAATCCAAGACGGTAGAGAGAACAAGTGGGGGTGATGATGAGGATGACAAGAACAATAATAAAGAGTGGTGGTAGATGAAGAAGTGAAGGAGGGTTCCTTTGTGAGTCATAATGGTTTTGTTGGGCAAGAAATTGTTGATTGTTGATGATTTTTTTTTTTTTTGAAAGAAAGAAAATGGTAGCTGGCTTTGATGGAGCTGTGGACATGTCCCTGCCCTTGTTTTTACACAGAGAACCCCAATTCAATTCAATTCAATTCAATGCTGGAAGTGATGATGATGATGGTGGTGGTGATGAAATCTCCACACGCTTTGCCAATCCATAATGACAATGACACCACACCCACACCCACACCCACACCCCTTCTCTCCAAGTAATTACAAAATTTTCAAACTCTTTTGGATAATATGCCCTTAACATGTAAGTAGGTGTATCAATGAGTTATATTTAATTCTCGTATATAATAGTCACCTACATATATTAATGATAGACTTGTTATAAAAAAAAAAAATAATAATTTAGGTACCTTACGAACAAAGGAGGAATAGGATATCCAAGAAAGGTTTAAAGGAAATGAAAGTTAGTAACTATACTAATAATCTTTTTCGATGGCTTAATCATAGGAACTTTAAGGTTAATTGTGTTTTGCTTGGAGTAATTCTATGTTGGATGATCTCTAGAATGAAAATTTATTTAGGATGCATGTAAGGGTAAAATATGCTGAAAGGACTTATGTTGATCTGTGGGGATAGTTTTCACTCTTAGAAATGAAGAGTAAGAAACTTGATCATGTCATTAGATTTAAGGGAATCTCGGCGTCATTAGGTGTCGAATCTGTATCTTAAATCCTGAGCTTTGGTAGTGACCAATATACTTTTAGCAAATATAACATTTGTATTTCAGTACTCACTCGATTTCATTTTAACTCTTTTTTTGGAACTATTCTAGGTTATTCATAATTCCGTGCCCTAATATAATTTCTATTAAAAAAGGTAAGACATTCTAATAAATCCAATAATATTTACTCTGACATTATGGACAACTTCGACAAAGGATTTCGTTAAAAAAAAAATTTGCTATCCTTTTTCTTCTTTGATAGTCAATTAACAACTTCCTGATTGAAAAAAATAAAATAAAATAAAATGACCAAAATGTCTCTTCAGCTTTTAGTGTTTATTTTGTTCACTATTTTTTTTAAAATTCCCTATATCTACTTTAAGCAATTTTCTTTTCTATCGCATCATAAAATTCAACATTTTTAAGTCTCTTAGTAAAATCTATCCATTGTAAAATTAAAAAAAAAATGTAGAAAAGTTCATACTGACCTAGCCTCAGTGTTCCATCTTAATTGAAAAATAAAATTCATAATATACTTGCTCTCTTATTCTACTTTAAGCCTGATATGAATTGAATAATTACAATACGTCATGTGACATGAACTGGTTTGTTTGTGAGACTTTTAAGTAAGAATATTTGTGTAATTTATTACTTTCACACACACATATCCCTATTTTTTGTCAACTAATCTCAAATAGTGAATGGTCTAAATTAATAGGATTCTTATTGTGTTTCAACAGGTGGAAACTATTTGATCAGGGTCACATATGTATCTCAATAGTTGATTCAGGCACATGGTTGCTCTGTTCATGTTTATGCTATAAGGATACCTTATGGGTACTACTAGAGAGTTGCCAACTAGCCTCTAGTTTTGAATTGCCTAGATCGACAAAATCCACATTATAGTTGATTTAGCTACAAGTTTGGGGCCTACATGTTTATTATGATTCTCGTGTGGCAATAAGGAGTTAACCAATTACACAAAAGAAAAAACCACAATTATTTTAGAATTCAAATTTAAATTTCAACCCATTTGACTGTAATGACTCAGATTTGTGTGTTTATTTCTTAGTTCAACAATTTGTTGGGTGGAGGATTCGATCAACTCGTTAGACATTAATTTCGTTTCTTAGATATTTAAATTCGTAACACTCCAAGTATAAGAGGAAAAGATGAACAAATAACTACAAAAACGATAGATTGAAACAGATACAATAGACAACAAGAAAGAAAAAAAACACGGGAAGATCATAAGAAGAAACAAGAGCATTATCACTAGCCTTTTTTGTTGTGGGTTTTTTTTTTTTTTTTTCTTAATTAAATTTCCCTTTTTTTAAATAAAAAAAAGGCTAGCCTAATGATCTTATTTCTCTTAAAATTTCTAAATAATTAAGAAAAAAAAATTGAAAGCTTCTCTTACAGAGGAAATTGATCTGTAGCAGAATAAACAGATGGGTAGAGGGATGTTGTTGTTGTTGTTGTTGGGCCTTAATGGGCCTAATTGTGAAGCGGATTTGGGCCGGTATGGACCACCCGTTTATCATCCTCGTATACAATGTCCGCAACGTCAGCGTGGATTTTGAAACCGGCCGGTGGTTTAAAGAGCTCCTCCGTTTCGAAAACGTGGGTCTTCCGGTGAAGGGTGGCGGATTTAGTTAACGTGGGGACGTTAACACCTCTAACGGCGGCGGAGGAAAGTGTCATCCGAGAGAGCACGAAAATAAGGCAAATGAAGAAAATTGCGGCGGCGACGACTGCTCCTCCCGCCTGCCGCTTGGTTCCGTTACCGCCGTTTCTTCCTCTCTCTACACCCACTCTCATTGCCACACACCCACCAACACCCTGAAAAACAAAAAGCTCGGCCTTTTCTTAATGGGTTCTCAGCAACTTAGAAGAGTTGGGAAATGGAAGAGAAAATGGCGAACACTACAAAGAACAGAAGAGAGAGAAAGAGGGAAGAGAGAAGAGAGAGAAAGAGAGACATAAAAGTTTGGTATGTGTTCTCCTTATATCATGGGTCTAACCCACATGATTTCTGACCCTCCCTTTGATTCTTGAGAACCTTCTTATATATTTCTTTTTTATTTATTATTATTATTTTTTTAATTTCAAACAAAAGTTTAAAAAGTTTAAAGTTCCAACTCTTGTAATAATCCATATATTAAATTTCTTTTTTTTTTTTAATTTTTTTAATAAATATCCATTCTCTCTATATCTCCTTAAAATCAACACGTTCAACATCGTCATTTCTAATTTTAGTGATTATTGAATTATATTATAATAATGATGTTATTTGTGTCGATTTGAAGGTAGTCGTATAATATATATATGTATGTATATGTAAAAAAAATGAAGAAATGAGTTTTTTTTTGGGTGAGTATTGGTTTAATTTAATATTTTTGAAAAAGGAATAATTAAATTAAAATGTGGAAGTTGGTTTGGAAGGAGGTGGTGTGGGTCTGGAGTATTAATAGCCACTGTCTCCGGAGAATTCAATAAATAAATGAGGAAATAAAAAGAAATAATAATTTAATACATTGGAATTAAAAAATAAAATAAAATAACTTAATAATAATTTAATCTTTTTTTTTTGTTCAATTATTTATATAATAAAAAAGAAAAATGAGTTCTGTGATTGTGTTTCCTTTTTCATGTTACTTTCCACTTCTCAATTTTTTTTTCATCTCTGATTTTGCTATCTTACCCTTTGACGAGCAGTAATAATGGTTTCTTCACACCCCAACACATTTACCATTTTTTACCCTTTTATTTTTTTTTTACTTTTTGAATTTAATCACGTAAAATTACGAATTTAGTCTAGTAATTTTTAAGAACATGTGTAAAAAAAACATGCCCATTTATGGTTTCATTAAATTATCAATAATTTAGAGATTAAATTATTACAATTTAGTACAAAAATTCAAGGACCAAAAATATTTTTTAACTTAATTTTTCTATATATCTTAAAATTTTTAATTTTATGTTCATTGAGTTATATTAAAAAAAAAATTCTACATTTTATCTACCTAAGTTAAATTAAAATTATGGAGACAAATTTTAATAATATTAAAATTTAAGGAGTAAATTGAAATTGTTATTTTAATAAAAATTTATAAAAGTACATATTGTGGATTAAAATGAAATAGCATAAAATATGAGGACTGAGTTTTGAAAATAGCGTTAATAGTTTAATTTGGTTTTAAATTTGGTTGGTTGGAAGAGGAATCGATGAAGATATGAAAGTTTGCATGCAAACATGGTCACATGTGTTCTTATTAAATAATGTAATTTTTTTAATTTTATTTTATTTGGATTAATTATATTTTAATTAATTACGTACTTTTCGAATCTTATACTTTTTGCATGAAATATGTATAGTTTAGTACATAGTATGTTATTATATAATAAAATGCTTCCAAACAAGAAATATTCATGTGATTCTTAATTAATATAATTGGAAATAATTAAATATTTATTAATATTAGGGAGTGTCTAGGATGCAATTAAACTATATTTAAATATTTCCTATAAATATTTTTATTGATTTTGAATATAAAAAATATACCAAATTTAAAGAATATGCTAAAATAAAAGCTCCAAAACCATGTAATATTATCCACACATTAAATAATTAAACACTATATTTGTAATAATTTCATAGTTTAAATATTTTATTTTATGTTAAAATTCACAAAAAAATAAAAATGAAAAATAAAAAGACGGTTGTGGCGATATTGTCAAGTTTTCTAAATTTAATTTCGTGTGAATTGGCTATTTGGAAGCATTGAATCGACTGGTAGGCTTAAACTGTACAACTGAGGCGCTAACTAGTCCAATAGGGGAGTGAATCGAGCAGCTGGGTGGACGCAAGCGTTCAGAGGCTTGGGTCGATGTTGATTGGTTTGCATGCATGTTTGAGATATCGAACTGAAGCATCTAATCTTATTCAGCAATGTTCTTTTCATGCATATACTAGTACTAAGTAGTCAACTAACCTATTTTCATGAAATGGTAACAATTCTCGTTATTATAACAAACACAACGACATTATTCATTATCTTTTAATAGGCATACTTGACGGTTACTGCATGCATATCATGAGTCTACTTTTTTTTTTTACTTTTCTTTTTTAAAAAAAAAAAAAAAAGACAGTTACTACATGTCTGTTGTCACAATCGCAATCTTGCAATAGCTGCATACGTTGCGAGAAAAGGTTTAGAAAACGTGCATGAAGAAATACATTTGAAAACAATTTAAAGAATTGAAGAAAACAACTTTATATGACTATAAGAAAATCAAGAAATATCACGGCTTAAATAGCATATAACGCACGGTAGGAAGGAGTGACAACTAGTCATATCTCCTACGGTACATTTTGGGACATTTTAGCACTGACGGGTGTAGATATTGTTTTGGTGAACGGTCATACACCCTTGTATTGACCCAAATATAAAACAGTAAAGATATATCTAAGATAAAAGCATGTAAAAAGAGTTTTGAAATAGGCATGCAACCATGAATAACGTGTCCTTGACAAGCAAGACTGAGACACCTGTCATGTAGCCATAGACAATATATCTTGGACAAACATGACCGTAACACTTGTCATGATCGATTCAAGG